ATAAGGACGTGAGTATTAAAACCCTAAATCAATTACTAATTTTTATTTTAAAAAATTATGTAACTGACATGTAATTCATTAATACATTAATGCAAGAAACTTTGATCAAAATTTAAAAACTAATAAGATCTCAGTTAATGAACATTAAAAACTAAGGACCGGATACTAATTTTTCATTTTTAAAATATCTCTATTTTTAAAGTTTAAAACAAAAACTGAAGATGGAGAAAAAAGCACGAACTCATTAGCCAACATTAACCAAAATCGCCACTGCACCCGCCGGCAATAACTCTTGTTCTCCTTGCTGCGGTCAAATTTTTTTCTCCTTTTCTCTTCCTCTCTCTTCCTCTCTCCCTTTACCAAATCTAAATATAAGGATCGTCAATATGAATAACTATGAGATTTTAAACTTTTAGAGATCCTTGTCAAGAAATGAAGCCCCTCACCATACGATTGCAAATCGCTCCCAGCTATCAGTCATAGAGAGAGAGTTGATTTGGAAAGAAAGGAAGAGAGGGCATGGGAAAGAGAGAGAAACGGGGAAGGAAGAGGGTAGATATTCAAAGCGTATGTATCTTAGTACTTTAGAGATTATTTTTGCAAAAAATTAGATAAATTCAAAATATAGGGAAAAAAATAACGAATACGTTAAAAAAAAATACTAATATGACTACAACTTAATAAAACAATTAAATAGTTTCAGATCTGGGTACTCTTTTTTCTTTTTTAATTTTATTATTGTCAAAGAAACTTACTATTGAAATTTGAAATACGATATGGAGGCAGCCTTACAAAGAATCCTTTAAATAAACTTCTTCCTTAAAGGAAGGGGACTTTATATATAGAAATTATTATTAACAGTTCAAAAATTTTATTTTGCACTACAAACTTTTTTTTATATATATTATATGTAGATCTCGAAACCAATCCGATTATCTAAAGGATTCGAGTAGTACAGATTGAAAAGGGCATTTCTATCCATTGAATCAGGTTTCTGATAGAGTTGATTTCCAATTTGTTTCTATATAAAGGAAAAAGAAAGGCTGTTTTGAATAACCTTGGGGCTAATCGTTTATTATTTTGTAAAAAAAAAAAAAAAAAAAAAAAAAAAAAAAAAAAAAAAAAAAACCCAAACGAATAATGAACAAAAAATACACTAGAAGTCTAGAACCAACTGATCTCACTTGTATCAAACCAAAAAAAAAGAAAAAAAACAAAAGAACTCTCAACTCCAAAAATATTAGTGGAAATAAAGATAACATAATTTGAGATATTATTAACCACGGTCATACTGGCTGAGGCTGCAAGATAATCTTTGTGTGTTCTGTTTAATGGAAAAAGTTATATATTTAGTATGCTTATAGTACTGCTTGCTTACTGGGGTCAAGCTCGGCGCTAACAAGCTCCAAAAGCAAAGTTTTTCCGAGCAAGTCGGTTAAGTCATCGAGGGGCCGAGTCAAGCCTATGCTGGAGAGTAACCCTCCTGTTACTGTCACCGTCACCAAAGCCTTTACCGTAAACGCGTTATTTTCCGTAGAAGTAACCGTGGACACTGATACGGGTGATGATTTGAGATCACTAGAAGTGGCACGGATCACCAAGGATGAGGAGTTTTTCTTATTACGATTTTGATGGACATGGTGGCGCGGAAGGATGCTGATCAGGGAGGGGCTACCATGCTTAATCAGATGATTAGGGTTAATAGAGGATTTTGGTAAGAGAGGGAAGGATGGAGCATAGTTGGGTTTCTGCAGCTGAGATGTCATCATCTCCCTTAAGGGTTGGATGATGTGTGCTTTGTAATGCTAGACTTTCTTTGAAAGCTTATAATTTGCTAGAATGGCTTTCAGAGTTCATGCATTTATAGAGATAATAAGGAGAGAGAGAGAGAGAGAGAGAGAGAGAGAGAGAGAGAGAGAGAGAGAGAGAGAGAGAGAGAGAGAGAGAGAGAGAGAGAGAGAGAGAGAAGGGTTGATTGGCTAGGAGGGATTTGGATCCTCGCTGGATCCCCTCCCTAGGATGAAGGGTTGATTGGTAGGAGGGATTTGGATCCTTGTTGGATCCCTCTCTGGGGATCCTAGAGATCAACGAACACGGATTGTTGATAAAAAATCGTGCGGCCACAATTTTTTCCTCTTTTATATTTTTGACACAAAACGATCCTGCTTTACTTTTGAAAATATAAAAAGCATTTAATTAGGACCGCACGATTTTTTATCAACAGTTTGTGTTTGTTGATCCCTAGGATCCCCAGGGAGGGGATCCGACGAGGATCCAAATTCGGCTAGGAGCTCGTTGACGAGATTGTTGTCATATTTAATGCCCTATGGGTTCACTCGACATTTTTTGTGTGTGGGCAATAAAAATTTGGAAAATGATCCTCGCTGGATCATTTTCCTGAGAATTTCGTGATCGTGACCATTTATCGTATATCATACGGTCATAAATCATTTGAAATTTAAAATTTAAAATAAATAGTACCTAATGAAAACTGACCGCACAATATACGATGAACGACCACGATCGGCGATGATCCTTTTTACCATTTGTAAGAGCAAGTTCAGCCCTATCTTTTAGGCTGGCACCCAAAAAAATCTCTCCACCCCTAAAAATAGGGCAACCCAAAATCCAAGCCAGTTTATAGGCGGGCCCAAAATGGGCTGAGGTAGGAACTGGCCTATCTAGTGTCATGCTGACGCCAGCATGACGTCAACGGACAACACAAATTTTTTTTGCGTCAAGTGCATGGGCACGCACCCCCGACACGTCAAGCTCGCACTGCAGACACACTAAAGGGGTGCAGGACATGGGCTACGTAGCTAAGCCTCGGTCGTTGGATTTCCAACTGTAAAACAAATTTGAAATTCAAACCTAACCACTAGTGACGTGGCATAATCTGGACCGCTCGATTTTCAGATCAACGATCCAGATTTTTCAACAAAAAAACTTAAAAAAATAAATTAATAAATAAAATGTTCGAAATTAATAATTTTTTTTAATTTTAAAAATGTCAGAAATTAAAAATAAAATTATTTTTTTAATAAAAATTAATAATATTTTAATAAAATGGACTAGGCTATTTTGTTTTAGGGCTAGAGATGCACTTGGTTAATTACTATTTATTGCAGTTAATTACTATTTATTTTGGTGGATTAAATAGACTTTGGGCCAACTCATTTTTTAAGGGTGGAGTTGCTTCCTTATTTCGTGTGGACCCCACAATTCTTTTGATTCCCCAAGATTGGTAAACTTTCCATTTCAATACTTCGTAATCGGAATTCAACTCCTTATTTTAATTCTGATTACAATAAACACGCCACAAGTACTTCCAAAGGGGAAAGGATCCAGGAATCCAGGGGATCGTGTAATCATGTTCGTTTATCGTACATCATGTAGTCAATTTTCGTTAGGTACTATTTATATTTAATTAAAAATTTAAAATTTAAAATAATTTTTAACTGCATGATGTACGATAAACGAACATAATTACACGATTTTCGGAATCCCCAGAAAAAGAATCATGCGAGGATCAATTATTTAGTATTGTAGCTTTCATCTTTATATGACATTCACAGTAAATGTCTTTGGATCTAGCTAGCTACGACTGTGGTATGCATGTGGTATGGCTTTCATCATTATTGAACATAGTTCATATCTTTGGATCTAGCTACGAGTGCGGTAGGTTGAACAAAGCAAGCAATTAACACGTGAAGAGAAAGTTATTTTTTTTTATTTTTTGGAAACTAGAGAAAGTTACTTTGGCGGTCTCTTAAAAGAGATGTGTTATTTACACATGAGTAAACTGTCGATTTGCCCCCTGAACTATCACCCAACTTTTGATTTGCCCCCTGAACTTTTTAATTGAAAAATTAAGGACTTAAACTAATTTTTTTGGCCGATTTCCCCCCTACCGTTAGTTTTTCATAAATTTCATCCAAATTAACGTTAACTCTTATCATGTGCAAACCACGTAACTCTCATTTTTGGACAAAAGCGTCATTTCACTAGACCTTCAGACAGAAAAGCTATAGAATCACACATATTTGCATAGGTTTATATTTTAGAAATCTAAGGTTTTCAATTATTTTAAAGAATGAAGTGACCGAACTACCCACACATGTTGTGCATATGCTTCCATTTAACAGAAATTTGGATGGAATGAATGAAAAATTAACAGCAGGGGGCAAATCGGCCAAAAAAATTAGTTTAAGTCCTTAATTTTCCAATTAAAAAGTTCAGGGGGCAAATCGAAAGTTGGGTGATAGTTCAGGGGGCAAATCGACAGTTTACTTTTTACACATTTATTTTTATTTTTTACTTTTTTTTTAATTTTTATCCTCAATAAATTAAAGAAGATTAAAGAATATAAATTAACAACGACATGTGAGAAGTAAAATAATGTATATAGATAACACTCCCTTTAAATGATAGTACGACGTAATGATGCTTGAGTTGTTAGGACACTAGTACCTAGTGGTCCGGTACGTAATTCTTTGGCCTTATTTCTCTTTCAAATTCACATGGCATTTCTCAAACAAGACTAGTTAGTAATTATCATATGCATATCTTGTTAACAATTAATTGGTCATGCGCTCATCCCCCGACAATACTCACCATTATCGTGTTGGAATTGGATCTTCTTTTGAGCAAATGGTCGTTGGTTCAAAATCCAACAGCCCGTGTTGTGTGATTATGAAAATCCCCATCATTTGCTCAGAAGAGGATCCAATTTCGATCGTGTTAAGAAGAAATATATTCTTATGAATAACACTTGCATTTTCCTCTTGGGTGGTGAATGAGCTAATTCATTTACTTATAAATGATGTATTTTTATAGTAAAAATGTTCGTTCAAATTTTTTATTTTTTTTAAGATTATTCTTACAAAAAATATTCGAATCGATGGTCGTTTAATCATCTAAATGTATCAAGTATGACATACCCGGACCATAGTCAAAACATGCTGGTCGTCACCCGAATATGACGTAACCAAAAAGGGAAGTGAAGCATAAAAATATGGATAAATTAAACTAAATTTAATCTAATGTAGCAAGTGCGCAGTAGTGGGAATAACCCATAAAACATTAGTGTTCAGAGTATAGATGACCTAAAAGTGTGCAGTTGAAACTAGATAAAGTACTTATTACACAACAGGAAAAGTTCCTACATTTATTTAGAGGTATGTCAAAATCGCCAGATATTCCTCTTAAGCCACAGAGTAAATCAACTAACTAGGACCTGAAGGGGCGAAAAATAGAAGGGTAAGTGGGCAAAAACAAAGGTTTATAAAACACATTTATTTTCTGAACATACTAACCCCTCGCCGTAAAACATGTATAGTTTCCAGAAAATCATACTACGTATAAATATGAAATCAAATGCAAATCAGCAATAAATCTAGAGATACGCCAAATCACAATATCGCAATAGTAGCATAATAAAATCAGGTGCTCATTAATCTATGCTGACACACGAGTTCATGCAGAGGATTTCTGACATGAGCAGGACTGGGTGTAATCATAATATACGCTCTAGTGCTATAATCACGTGAAAACTAACACTATTGGCGGTCACATACGAGTCGGAGTTGCCTATTGCAACCTGTACGACAGGACTGGCACCTACTTGGATCCAAGGCGAGCGTGCAATGCAGATGTGAACATACATGTGAAAGACTGACCCTGTCTCTGGCCCTAGGTGAGCACTAACACCGAGTGTAGCAATGTATGATGAGCAGGTAAAATGCATATGAACATGCCATGACAACATATAAATTTCAACCACAAAATAACATTTCTAAAATTAAATAAAAGATGGCATGATAGGCATAAATCAATCCAAAAGCATTTGTGGAAACTATAAAATTATATATATATATATACACACACACGAAAACAAATGCCCAATCACTGATACATTAATTGATCGTAGCCTCCTAGCCTTTCTTGACCTCGTACGTTCTCGGGATAAGTCTCACCTACGTGGGAAATAACTAAACTAATTAATTAATTAGGACATAAACAAAAAGGCTAGGAAAAACACCCATAGTTTGCTCAAACGGAGGGTTTAAATATACGAAAATGTTTTACACGAAGTCACGGACCCGTACACGTCAACCACACGTTGGCCGGAGGCCGAACGAGCCCTCACACCACCTAGCCCACGACTACACGCTTGCCCATGCAGGTCAGAAGCTGACAGACCTAGGGAATATTCTGTTAGACTTGACGGAATATTTCGCTAACGATAACGGCGTCAGTTAACGGTGTTACTTGACGGCATCAAAATATTCCGTCAACTTTGACGGAATATTCGATCTTCTTCTCTGGTAGTCCTCCGCCGTCTGGTTCCCCGGTTTTTGGAAAAAATTTCAAAACTCTGTAACTTTTGTCAATTCTTAACCATTTTCAACGAAATTTATATGGAATTGAAGCCCATGACGAGGAAAATAAGATTGTATCTCTTGAGAGTCCAAAAAGAACTTGGAAAAGGGTTGAAAAAGCCTCGAAAGCTTCAAACCTAAACTCAACGTCCCAAAACCGTGAGTTTCCTCATCGGCTCCACTTTAAAACTAAGTTAATGGCCTCGAGGAGTTGCCTAGATGCTCCCAAAACTCCCAAAACCTTGTAACTCACACAAGAAGACGTCAGAATAAACTCCACTCGAGTCAGAGCTTCGAGTTGGACACTCAAAACTCGTCCACTTCGTGATCGGTTGGTACAGATGTGTTTGTGGGGATGAGAGGAACACGATGGTGGTAATTTGAGAGTCAATCCATGAGTGTTGATGAGGGTCCTTGATGTTGCAGAGAAGAGAGTCATGGGTAAAGGAGAGAGAAGGAGAAGATGAGAGAGAGAGAGAGAGAGAGAGAGAGAGAAAGCTTTCTAATTGGTTGAGAAAAAGAGAGAGAGAGATTGATGTTTGAATGGGGGAGAAAAATGAGGAAAAAATCTTATTGGTTGGTGAGAGTGAATAAGGCATGGGTCCAGTTTTAAAGAGAAAAAAAGATAGGGTTTGTACAATTGAAATCAGACGAAATCTAATGTGTCTTATAAAAAATAGTGGTTTTCAACACTAAATAATTAACACGCACGTGTACAAATTTACCCGTTGTTCACGCACTTTAATTAAACGTAACATTTTCGTTACAAGTCTGTTTCAAGCCTAACTCGTGCTCACGCGCTCGTAACAACGAGTACTATTTAATTAGGATAATGAGAAAAATAATTTAAAACCGAATAACCAAGTCCACGTCACTTTTCCAACAAGGGCATCAACATCAATTTACACACATGGGGAGAAAATTACATAGAAAATTAGGGACGGGTTGTCACGAAGTAAATCAACACTATATAACATGTCAATGATGAATCATCCATTTATTTAATATACTTGGATGACTAAACAATTATCGATTCGATTAATTTTTTGTAATGATGATCTACAAAAAAAAAAAAATTAAAAAACAGAACAGTTCCGATCGATTATGAAAATTTTATGATGAAGATACATTATTTGTAAGTAGGGAATGAGCTCATCTCCGAATCTCGAGTCTATACATTTATTATCGGTGCATTTAGGTGAATTTAGACAAATCTTGATCATTTGATTAATCTACTCCATCCACATCAGATTTATATTGACATCGCCTTCACACCATATCACTCTGCGTCTCTCTGCCTTCCTCCTCACCCATCTCTCTTGCCGTCTTCTCCCCTCTTCTGTAAGATCACAAAGAGAACTTCACATGGATGCTGTGAGGTTTCTTATGATGGATGGGTGAAAGGTTGACTAATATCAGTTAATCCTACTAATTATGTCTTTCACTGGGATCCAGTAGGAGAACAAAAAACGATTAACAAAATCGGAGGAAAAGGCACCCATTTTATTACTTATATTAACTTTTGGAATTGAATTCTCAATCCATTTATGAAAAGCAATTGAAGTTTTCGTTCAATTTGCGACAGAAGTTGGGAGGACAGCGAGAAAGTAGACTCCCAGATAGAAATTAGTGCTAAGGTGCAAACGTGTATTTTGTTCTAATATGACGTAATTGAAATTCAACTTCTCGTTTCAATTTCGATCACAATAAACACGCCACAAGTACTTCTAAAGATGCATCAATTATTTAGTGAATAACTCATGCACGTGCTTGGTTGTAGTTTTCATCTTTATATGACATTCACAGTACAAATCTTTGGATCTAGCTACTAGTGCGGTAGTTTGAACAAAGCAAGCAATTAACACGGGAAGAGAAAGCTACTTTGGCCGTCTCTTAAAAGAGATATGATGTTCACACATTTATTTTACTTTTTACATTCTTTTAATTTTTCACCGTTGATAAAAAGAAGAAAATCAAATGATATAAATTAATAAGAATGTGTGAGAAGTAAAAAAAAAAAAAAAAAAGGTGTGTATAACATCCATTTCAAATGATAGTACGACGAAATGATGCATGAGTTGTTGGGAGACACTGGTACCTAGTGGTCCCGTACATTATTATTTGGCCTTATTTCTCTTTCAAATTCACATGGCATTTCGCAAACAAGACTATTAGCAATTATCCATATGTATATCGTGTTAAAAATTAATTGGTCATGCATCATCTCATCCCCCAAACAAAATGTATATGGATAACACTTTCTTTAAATGATAGTGCGACGTAATGATGCTTGACCCTAGTGGTCGGTGCGTAATTATTTGGCCTTTTTTCTCTTTCAAATTCACATGGCATTTCTCAAACAAGACTAGTTACTTAGTAATTATCATATGAATATCGTGTTAACAATTAATTGGTCATGCATCACCTCATCCCCAAACAAGACTCACTATTATCGTGTGAAGAAAGATATTCTTATGAATAATACTTGCATTTTCTTCTTGGGTGGTGAATGAGCTAATTCATTTACTTGTAAATGATGTATTTTTATTGTAAAAATGTTCGTTCAATTTCTTAATTTTTATTTGAAGATTATTCTTACAAAAAGTTATTGGAATCGGTGATTGTTTAATCATTCAAATGTATCAAGTAAATCAACACTATATAACATATTAACGATGAATCATTCATTTATTTAATATACTTGGATGATTAAACAATTATCGATTCGATTAATTTTTTGTAATGATGATCTACAAAAAAAAAAAATTAAAAAACAGAACAGTTCCGATCGATTATGAAATTTCTATGATGAAGATACATTATTTGTAAGTAGGAAATAAGCTCATCTCCGAGTCTCGAGTCTATACATTTATTATCGGTGCATTTAGGTGAATTTAGACAAATCTTGATCATTTGATTAATCTACTCCATCCACATCAGATTTATATTGACATCGCTTTCACACCATATCACTCTGCGTCTCTATGCCTTTCTCCTCACACATCTCTCTTGCCGTCTGCTCCCCTCTTCTGTAAGATCACAAAGAGAACTTCACATGGATGCTGTGAGATTTCTTATGATGGATGGGTGAAAGGTTGACTAATATCAGTTAATCCTACTAATTATGTCTTTCACTGGGATCCAGTAGGAGAACGAAAAACGATTAACAAAATCGGAGGAAAAAGGCACCCATTTTCTTACTTATATTAACTTTTGGAATTGAATTCTCAATCCATTTATGAAAAGCAATTGAAGTTTTTGTTCAATTTGCGGGAACAGAAGTTGGGAGGACAGCGAGAAAGTAGACACCCAGATAGATATTAGTGCTAAGGTGCAAACGTGTATTTTGTTCTAATATGATGTAAACTGATTTACTTTGTTTGATAAATTGAATAGCTAAGATTTGCCTAAAGTGTAATGTACAAATGACAAATGTAGGAATAATGTTATTTTTGTGAATCTCATCTGTAAAAAAGGTAAGACCCAGAAACACATGTGAGACCCATCTTTATTAGTTAGGTGGTCCAAATATAATATGAAAAAGAGATATTATATTTGCAGTTTTACACACTTCAAATTACTTTCCCTACACTTTTTTTTTTAAATATTGTATGACACACCACTAGCATTTGATAGAAAAATATTAAAAAAATTAAAAGGATGTGAAGAAAGTAATCTGAGGTGTGAATATAATCTTTCTTTAAAAAATATAATAAAATATTTTTTTTTATCAAATAAGTTAACAAATAACACTTAAAATAAAAAATTTGCTAACCGATAAGATATTCATCCTCTCTTTTGAACTCACAAGGACTAAATTTCAGAGTGTGTGTGTGTGTTGATGATGGTGATGGAACAATTCGATCGGTAAAATGGATAAGCTAGATAGCTAAATTTGGAATGCAACGGTGGAGTAAAACTTCCCGGTTTTCATTTATTTTCTCTGTACATGTCCCTTCAAACATAGCGTCCTATTTCCCTCCAATTCAGTCATCGGAATAGCTGTATGATCATGCTCGGATGCTTTCACTCTAGTTTCAACGTCAGATAAATCACTTTTCAGCGTAAGCATATGGCTACTCGTACTCATGTTGCATGATTGTTCGAGAGTAAAATTTCATATTAGGGAGAGAGAATTTTGCATTTGTTTATAAGGACTTGTATTATTTAACTTACTTATAATATTGTCAAATTAATTTTAGGCTTATTTTTAGCTATGTTTTTTGGCACTTGATTTTAATTTTATTTTGCTCCTTGTAACTAAAAAATCGGCACTTTATTCTCTGAAACTCAAAGTTTGCTCCACTTTGCCATTAAAACGTGACCTTAATCTCATTTTGTCCTCTGAAACTCGAAAGTCGCCTCTATAAAACTTAAGATTTGCTTCACATTGCTTTAGATTTGTTAATTTCTTATGTGTGTTTGATTTGGATGCGTCAAACTAATCATTTTATTTTTTATTTTTTTTCATCTCTTCAATTTCTTTTAGACTTAATATTATCTGACTGTTGAATATTAACACATAATAGAGATTTATAATAAAATTTATTGCACATGTGACATAGTTTTATTGAGTATTGGGGCTCACATATGTTTTAAGAGCGACCTATAATTTTTTGAGAGAAGACAGAGTCCATAAGTCAAAATAGAACAAATTTTATAAGTTTGAGAGAATAAGTGGTAACTTTTGAGTTAAAAGGTAATGTAAGATTAAAATAGTAAAGAGTGTAAATAAAAGATAAGCTTTAATTGTATCTCTGATCTCTATTGATATTAAACATAAAGGTATCAAAAACATTTTCATATAATTATGTACCCTGGTAAAATAGGAAGACATATCATTAACTAAAGACCTCATAAGATTGCACTCTGTTTTTAAACAAACATAATATTAGAATAAATTACACAAAATTACTTATCATGAGTAAAACCATAATTTCATACTTTATGTTTTAAGCATTACAATGTTATACCTCAATTTATAAATTCGTCGCAATGTCAGAATTCCGTTAATTAATCCGTTAAATGATGACGTGACAAATGTAGGATGATTAGGGTCTATATTTTTCTGACGTCGAAAACGGAATTGGATCCTCTCTGAGGCAACCCCTCAGGGATCCTCCTGACCGGTGTTAGTGGGCCGTTGAATTTTTATCCAACGACTATGAACAGGGGGACCCTCTAAAAGTTATAATAATTGTTGTTGTTAGATAAAAATTCAACGACCCACTAACCCCTGTCAGAAGGATCCCGAAAGTTTGCCTCGGAGAGGATCCAACTTCGTGGAAGACCATATGGATAAAAAATAAAACTACAAAATAAATTAGGCCATCTCCAACCGAAGGGTCCAGAGGGCCAGAGGGCTCGGGAATCTGGGAGGGCCCCACGGAATTTCAAAGGGCCAAAGGGCCAAATGTCTGGCTGCTTTTGGCCAGCCAGCCAGCCTCGGGCTGGCTATTTTTTTTTTATGTTTTGTTATTGGCATGTATTCCTATCGGTTACTAGCCGTTGCATTTGATTTGATTTTTTTTTACATTATTATTTTTTTTATTTACAAAAATTTTCATATAACTTCTATTTTTTCCTATAACTTCTAT